TGATAGGCAGACTACTTAAATAGGCGCTCAAAAGGCGCAGGTATGGCTAGTTGTACCCAACAAATATGTACAGCCGTTAGAATATATCTGATGGTTAAAAATACTACTAGTATTCGAATAAAGAGCAGTGTGGCAAAGAGGTCACCTTAAAACCAAAAAAAAAAAAAAAAAAAAAAAAAAAAATTAATATATATATATATATATTGTTTGCTTATATGCATACTATGATAAAATTAGTTAGTATTATACATAATACTAGCTAATTTTATCCTAGTATATATTGATAATAATACGTATACTTACATGCGGCCCATGCCACCATTTGTCCATACACACTAATTTTTTCCGCTTCTCCCCATCTCTCAATGTCGCATCCTCATCTGTTACCCATTCTTCACCTTTGCTACTTGTCAATAACTCCAAGTCGTTGCATGAGTATCTTAAAATTTTTTTATTTCCTAACTTAATTAAAAAAGTCAACATCCTTCTCCTTCTTTTCCTCTTCTAATTTCATAAAAAAAAAAATTTAATTATTATAGTGTATAATTCCCGAAAGTTATTTTATTATATGTCACATGCCGATACAACACCAGATAATATTGCATGATAATCCCTATAAAGATAATCCGAACTTAGGCCACACCAATTTAATTTTATGTTTAATATAACATTTATAGCCAATAAAATGAGGGGAGTATTAGAATAATACACAACACATGATAAAAATGCTGCAATTTTATTGGCTTTTCATACTGTAAAATAATATAATCAATACGGGTTTGTACAGTATATCGATATTATATACAGTGAGACCTCCTAAATGCTACCCCAAGTGCACATTCTATAAAACACCTCCCTAAATGCATGTCTTCTCTTGGGCCCAACTAATATTACATTTATAGATTTTTACCTCCCCAAATGCAATATCTCTCTAAGTGTATGTTTGACTAAATTTTTATATATGGTCCTGTCGCATTGCATTTAGGGAGGTCTGACTATACTTAAAGTGCTAATATACTTGGATATTTGTAGACTTAAGATATACCTGGTATATATTGTTTTTTATTCAACTTTGCTAATCATCGATGTTTTATACTAAATATATATATTTAAAAGCATGAAAATATTATTTTTCGAGTATCCAAACATAAACCAAACTTTTATTCAAACTACTTCCGGGTACAAAATAGGAGAATCGATTTAATAGTTAACATCTGACAATAATGCAACTTAGAAACTTCTGTTAAAACCAAAACATTAAAAAAAAATTTTTCTTTTATTAAGTTTTATATCGTTAAATATAGTATGTTCAGATCAATCTTTGAAATACTGTGTTTTCTTGAACTAAAATGCCAATAATATATAATTTATTAAAGAAATCTATCTAATTACATCCTTGTATTCTCTGGATTTAAGTTAAAATTTTTTAAACAATCATGAATATCCTTATTTCCAGTGATGGCCTATAACTTGTTATAACTTATGATTTATAAAATTTACTATTTTATAATGTCCACCTTGGTCATATAAAGTCAGATATGATCTAAAATGGCCAGTACTGCTTATTTCTACTTGTCCAATTTGTGTTATTTTATTGCATGACTGACCATAATATAAATTTTTAATGAACTTATTTTTTTGACGCTTCACGGCTTTACTATTAGTTTTAATCGCTGCTTTTGTATAAAAATTTTTTCTATTTTCTTGACAAAATTCACATAATAGATAGATTTGCTTAAAACATTCTTTTAAAGATTGCGGCAGAGGTATCAAATCATCACTATTTCTACAGTAATAACAAATAAGAAAATTTTCTACTTTGTGGCTTGAATAGTAAAGTATTTCAATTAGAAAATTACAGCTAATTTGTGTATGTATAAAGATTACTTCTTTCAAATAATGGTCTTCAGGGAAAATCAGAGCACCACACGAATATGAATAAGAGTCTAATGCTTGTTGATAATCAGACTGTTCATCATCGGTTAAGGATTTGTTACTATATATGCAGCGACGTTTTTGACAATTTTCATACTTTATATAATCCCAGATTTTCTTTGCAATTAGAATAGATTTTGGGATAGGCTCAAATTTTTCCTGTGACTGCATATATGTTGGTCGATATTCTTCCGTGATTTTGGTTCTATAAACATTCTGAAAGGCTGTATAATGATCTGTATTATCTAATATTAAAATAATAACATATAGTATACAGTTATATGAACCTATATTATACAGTTGTATGAACAAAATATTAGAGTAAGAAATATACCTTTTGAAGGAATTGGATCTGGAAGAAAGCTCAACATATTAAACTCGTGTATTGGAAGATGAATTGGCTTACAATACAAGCAGGAAATATTATTACATTTTTTCACCTTTAAAGTTAATATATAAATAAGCAATAACCTTGTTGTAATTAATATTACTCAAAATTTCAAAGATTGGTTTTGGAACCCTCAAATACTGAGTATTTACATATCTGAAAACTGTAAGCACGTGTTTGGCAATGAGTGTCAATAAATTCGATCAATGTTGGATGCTGGCATATTTGTGTTTGTGTAGTTTCTTCAATTTTTAGAGTTGGATCTATTCTAAAAATTGACTGTAAAATTTATCAATGATATTTTATATAGAATAATCGATATAATAAAGTTAAATAAAATTCATTAATCGATATAATAAAGTTAAATAAAATTCATTAATTTAGCTATAGTAAACTAATTTTATTTTATTTACTTCAAATACTTCTGTAATGGAATCTTGACTTGCGGGAGAATAACACCTAAATTTATTATTTTTTAACTTAAGCCGTTCGGTTTGGCTATTTAATATCTCTTGAATACTTGTAATACTTTTTTTCAACTCGGATTCCAATTTACTTGATCCTTGAGCTTTTTTACATATGTTGCCTAATGTATTCACCATCCTAAATAAAGTTTCAGATTCAATACTCATCAAGTCATGTTTTAATATTACACTCTGAAGGCCCAAATTCAAAGTACTCATAACTCATTCTGCAGAATTTGTCCAGCTATGATTGGGTGCTGTACGAACTGCAACAAGTAAATCGAAATCTCTACAAAGAAAAAGGCTAATTAGTGCAATTTGTATAGAACCATAATTACAATGATGATTTGGACCTCTATTGGTGTAAAGACACAAAATTAGTGGCACTTCTTGATATGCATACTGAATGTTTAGTGCATTTAAAAATTCTGTTACATGTCTAATAGCGGTACTAGGTTTAAAAATTGTATCTTTATATGATACAAACACCTGACTCTCATAAAATGACCCTGAAATTTCATTGGGGATAGATATAAAAAAAATCACAGATGGTGTTAAAGATAGTTTTGTGAAATCATGATTGGCAGCAGCCAAATTGCACTCTTGTGCAACCATAGAATGTCGATTTCGTACACCTGTAGAAACTGCAACATCTTCGCCTATAGGAATTTTGTGCTTATCATCAGCAGAAATCAAACAGGCCTATTGACGGTACTGGATATAGAATTCTCTAAGATAGCAGAAAAGTGCAGTACAATAATGTGCATCTTCACTGTTTTTTCGAAGCATCTGAGCTTGTACTTTAAATTTTACATTAAATCAGCCAGTATAATACATAGCCCTCGTTGTAGTAACATTTGTGGGACAAAATTGAAGACGAATCCATTCATCTGATGAAATATTAATATTAGAAGGGGATCACCATAAATAGTCTCTAATCTTTTCACTATGGTTTCACAAAGATCACAAATTGACAAAGCCAATAGCATATATAGAATAGCCCATGCCGCCGCTTATTTACTGCAAGTAAATTCTATATTAAAATAGTGTAAAGAGATTAATAATAATAATAATAATAATAATAATAATAATAATAATAATAATAATAATAATAATAATAATAATAATAATAA